AAGACTTTTGTCCCCTAGAATATTCATCTCTCACCCAGTAAAAGAACTTAGTTGCAACAGGTGAGAATATAAGGGACACACAGGTCAATAAATGCAGTTGCCAGTCAGACGTCTTGATTATGGTAGATAAAGTTAGGTTACTGTATTCATAATTGGCTAATTAGGATTGAGAGAAGGGAAGGAGTCTTTTAGGTCTGCTAATGATACATGTCGCTTGAATTTAGAAAGGCAGGGAGAAGAGCAAATCATGTAACGGTGTAATCATGTAAAAAGTAGAACCTCAAATTTCACAGGTTAATGTTGTTTTGCTTTAGTGTGGTCATTACTGAAACTGTATCCATTTCTACACTACGGAAAGTGGTATTGAAGAGCTGTCACGTAAGTTGAAAGCCCAGGGATCATGTTTGCAGACCTTTAAGGAAAGCATCTGATAATAGCCTGCAACTGCCTACTCAGGTTAAAAAATGAGGAAATCCTGAATTCATTTGGCACATGTAGACCTGATAATTTGTAAGTGCTCTCTTAACCCCCAAAATTACAGTTACATTTCTTTTCTGAATTGAAATTGAGTGCAAAACAAATAGACTTCATTCGGTAGAGATGGCCAAAGGGAGGATGCGGAAGCAGCAGTTTGGAGCATGTAACTAGTGCAGTGGGAACCTGTCTGTCTTGTCAGCTGTGATCACAGCTCTGAGATTGTTGGCTGTTTCTTGTGATGGGATCACTTTCAACAAAGACCCAGACAGCTTTCCTCTGTTGTAACTAAAAAGAAGGCTTCTGGTTTGTCTCTTTTCTTCTTGCAGCTTTACTAGCTCATACCTTTGTCACCTTGAGACTGGCCCATGATAATGTGTTAACTTGAAAGGCAGAGCTTACTAAAAATTATCAGTTTTGCAGTGGATTGTTGTCAGTGTCAGCTAAATTATTGTACTGAAAGTATCTTAGTTAGGTGAAATCATCAGTTTAAATCTCCAACAGACAAACTGGTTTAGGACTTGCCTGTCTGGCATCTCTGCCCAGCTAATCCCACCCTTTTGCCTCATATTTGAAATGAGCATAAATACCTATTTCCAGATCTCTCAAGGAGCACTGGAAACATTCCTTGATGTGAAAGAGGGGGAACAGCTGGTAAGCAAGTATGGGAAGCATATCTAAAGAGGAGCACATTGTAGATTGCACTTTGTTAGTGGCACACTCAGTATTGGGTAGGGTTCCTTTTGCTATAGACATGATTATGGTTGCATGGTTGATTGTGTTCACACTAATAAGTAAAATCTTGTTACATGTCTGTAATACAGGGAAAGATTGGTACAGCAATCACTGTAGATCTCACTTTCTGCAAGGTCTTCCTTAATTTACTGCCTCTGCTTTTAAAAAGGTTTTGAAGATGTCAGGAACAAGAAGAAAAAAGAATGTTTTGGCTGGGACATTTCTTGTTGCGTATTGTTTTTCTCATGGATGAGGCTTGGGTATTTAAGGTGAACAAACTGAGTTCTGTCTTGTGCTTTCTCTATAATGTTTTGTTTAGGATTCTGGAGAAGGAAAACAGTTGTGTGGTGCAGAATTCTAACCACATGTGCATGTTGCATGTCATTCATTTGTGATAAACATTTAATGTGACCACTGTCATATTCACTTACCATATTGGTCCTCTTCAATACACACAGAATTTTGTGCAGATATGCATTGCTGAAATTCCAGTCACGTTCTCCCCTTCCTCTCCTTCCCTGTTCTTCCTCTGGTTTCCTTTTATCTTCCAGTTTTCATCCTTTACGTGAACGATTGTGGCAATATTGCAAACCCTGACATTTATCTGTTACCTGAGGTTTTTTTTTGCAAAACATACAACTACATCCGTTCGCACATGTGCTTCATGTTTTCTACCTCTCAACTGACGGTGCACACAAGTCCAGTCAGCTGTAATTGCTTAACAAAAATAGGTGTGCTAAGACAAAGTTAGAAAGAAATTGCTTACATTGCTAGAAAGCCTTCAGGTTGCAGAAGATAGTGTGTTACCGCAGAATTTGCTGAAATAATAAACTTTATAAAAATTTTAAGGACTGGTGAACTTGGTAAATTTTCTATGGCACATTACTAGTACTTCATAATAGCAGTCTCCTCTGCAACAAAAGGAGAGGAGTGATCAAGGAGAAATATAGGTACACTTTGCGCTAATTACCTTTACATCTTTATCTAGTGTTTCAGTTCTCTCTCAGTCCATTCCTGAATGAAACTTTTGAGTTGTGTACTAGTTCTGTTGTTTCATGTCTTTCCAGCAAGCAATATTCTGATAAGGATTCTTTTTCTGCTGATTTGTTAGCAAGATTAGACATCTGTTAAAAACGTTAGGAGGCCAGAGGCCAAACATGTTATTTTCTTTGAAAATTGCAACATACATTTACCAGTCTATGGAAAACCTTCCTGTTCAACCTTCTATAATTTTTAGAGCAACCTTCAATCATTGTAGAATATTTGATTTAGTATTACAATTCAGGGTTATATTCCCTTGGAGAATAATATATGGAGGGCAAGCTTGTAGAGCTCAAAGTTAGGAAAACAATCTTTTTACTGGCAAACTGAGCAAAATTATTTTTAAAGACAGCTGAAAAAGGATAAGAACTTGTCAAAGTATGGGTACTTTATTGAGAAGGCTCCCTAGTGAGTAACATATTTAAAGTGAGCTGTTTAATTCCTGAAAGATACAATCTAGGTTTGATTAATAGATTCATGAATTCATGATAAGTAAAATCAGTATCTTTGACCATATGAAACAGTTGATTTTTTTTTTTTTCTATCTATTTATGTGTGTTTGGGTTTTCTGTTGATAAAACATAAAAGACATTGGTTGGACCCCAAATCTTTAATTTAATTTATATCCAAAACAAAAGGCATTTCAGAATGATTCAGAATGAGAGGAAAAAAACCCAAAACACCCTTGCATTAAGTTGTGGAACAAGATGAAAAGCTCTTAATATTATGTCAGTGTAACACTGCCAGAGAGGGTTGTGAGTGTTGAGTAGACAAGTGTTGTGGAGTAGAAAGTAAGCTTTTCATCTTCTTTTTTTTATCTGAAATAGATAAATATTGCACTGTAATCTTTCTATCATTTATTCAGGTGTTATTATTAATGACTTACAATGCTTTTGCAAGTGTCCATGGTATTCCTTTTGCAGACGATTGCTTGTTAGTGTTTAAAGAATATTGCTAAAATCTTATTTTCTGATAGCCAATTCACAGTTATCCTTACAATGTTAGAACATGCTTGGAAAATTTTGTGTAGTTGGATGCATAAAATATGTTTCTTAGTATTTATAAACACTTCACAAAGACACGCAGTTGTAAACTGAAATCTGTTAATACGAGTTTCTGCAGGATGTTAACAACAGGCTAGAAGTGACAGTAATTTCAAAACAAGTATTATGGCTAAATGAAGGTTATTACATTCTATCTCCAAATACCATAAGAAGCATTTTCTTGGTGTTGGAAATCCCACTTTGTTTATTGAAGAGTTATTTATGGAGGGGCAGTCTTACGTGACTCATCTCAAAACTTGACTAAATGTGCTCATCAAAGCGTGCAGTCATTAATGTCATCACACAAAGTTTGTCTAGCTTTTGGATCAAATTTAGAACAATTGAGAGGGTAAACAACATTAATTACTAACTTTTGCATACAAAATAGCCCATAAAAAGAAGCTCTGTAAGGTGCACAGTCAAAAATTACGGGATATGTGACTGAGGATTCCTGTGCAAGCGTAATTCAGTGTGTGTTTTGATTTTGTGATCACAGCCTCCTTTTTTCTTCCATAGAACTGTGTCTGATTTTATGTATAGATTGGAGTGTAATCACTAAGCAGCTGCTCAGTATTTGATCCTCTTCCTGTTCAGGCTGTTGTTCTAGACCTGACTTACTGCATGCTGTTTAAACCCTCCACTGAAAATATATGCTTATATGCACATTTTTCTGGTTTGCTCATCATGATAGTAGATCGTGGACTTTAAGGTTATTCATTTATTGTCTTGTCCTCTGTATGAGGAAGCCCATGTTTTAATCCTCATCTTACAGTTGGGAAGCTCAGTTACGTTTGCAGAGGCAATTTTTAGATGCATTATTTTGCACCTGTATGAACTAGTGTTGTTACGAAAAAGAGGGAAAATGAGAAGCATAATTTCCTAGGTGTTAAGAAAGGAGTCATCCTGTCTCAAATTCCTGTTTGTGTCTTTTCTCTTCTTTTTCCAATCCTGTGTATGAAAAGCATCTTGGTACTTCAGATGTGACTTCTGGTTTTGGTTGGGAAATAGGAAAGCTTGATTTTACCAGAGTGCTAAAACATAATTGAGGTCTTCCCTTTCTAATAGATTTTTTTATGGATTTTACTAAATAGTGGCTTAAGAAACAAAGTCAGTTCATGGAAGTAATTTCTACCTTTCCTTAGGATTATTGGCAAAATAGAAATAATTGAAAATAATTATACATTATTCCCACATTTTAATTTTGTTGCAGCTAAATTGTAACACAATCCTCAAGATACCTGAGCTTTGTTCCACTATATAGGCCATGATTTTTGGCAAGGATTAAATTTGGCAGAAGTAAATTATTCCAGTCCTTCTTTTAAGTCCTTTCCAGGCTATATATTGCGGTTTGGTATTTGTTATAACTATCAGCCTGCTTTAGGGGAGTGTTGAGAACTGTCTTAAAGTGTATCTTTATCTTAACCAGGCACAACTACCTTTATTAGGTGCTAGTGGGAGTTTTTCAGGAGCCCTAGTGCTGTGTAAATGAATACTATATAATCAAACCTATGAAAAAATCAATTTTTGCCTTAAAATTCTTGAAAATGAAAGCCTGTTCTGAAACATACATGACTTTTTAAAAGTAGCTTCTGTACCTTGTAAAAATGCAGGGTTTTCTGTTTAGATAGTATTGTAGTACACAAACTGCTAAAAATAAAAAAGGTCCCATTTTGAAATAAGCAAATGTTTTATTTGTTTGACCAACAGGTACACACGAAATTCCACTGCAGGCAAGCTCATGCTTCAGGCACTGACACTTCATGCTTGACATTTTCCTATGATGGTATTGTCCTTGCCAGCCGGGGAGGTAAGTGATTGATAGAAACCTTTGATATTTGAATGTAGGATGATTACTAAGTGAAGTGGTTTGGTGAGCAAAACATTTAAATTGTGTCTTTGTTAAATTTAACAGGTTTTGATGGAGGTAAGATAGTGAAGTCAGCAACTAGTGAAGTTGAAACCTGAAGTGTTTCACAATTTACATCTTTCATTTTTATATACCATGCCAATACTGTTCCCCAAATCACATTTTACAGGAGTTAAGGAATATTTTAAGAGAACTTTACTGTTTATGTTACGTTATGTTACATTATGTTATAATATGTTACAGTATGTTACATCGTTATGTTTAATGCTTTTTGTCTAGCATTAATAACATGCCAAAAAGAAATTAGCTTAATTAAAAATAAAATGAGACCAGTTTTGGTACTTAATTCTTTCCAGGAAAATTACTGCCTCTCAACAACAGTATTTCTATCCTGGATTTACAAATTCCTCAAGCAGGAATGTAATGTCCTTTTCTGTTCTAATTGGAAATTCTGTCTAATTCATATCACAAACATCAAGAGGTGATGACTAGAAGTGAGAGGCCAAGATGTAGTTTAATGGCAAAAAAAAAATATTGAAATGTGTACCAAGGCATGAAAAATCTCCTGTTTTTTAAACTTCAGATAAAACTTCTGTAACCAAGTCTTAGATAACAGAACAAGTTTTGAGAAGCCACAGACACATTTGAAAGTTCATTCCCTCCAGTATTAGATGTATTGGATCAGTTGGTGTCTGCCTAAGACAGCTTTTCATACAGAGATTTGTCTATGCAGTATTTTGCAGGCAGGTGCAAACATACAGTCCGAGCTTTCTGGATGGAAACCAGTTGTAACCAGAATCTGTATGTATGCATTAGCATGTCCTCAAGGCCAAATAAACAGACCTAGGCGAGGCAGTGTATGTTAATGTCAGCTAGCATTGTGCCTAACATATGTATAGGACATCTGGTCAGTTTGGTACATAGACAGAATGAGATTACATATACAAAATACCAAGATAGAGGTATACATAGATACAAAAAGCTCTGAAGTAGGGGATGTGCTTCTAAGCCAATGGCCATAGCTTGCAATTACTTTGTGTCCTTCTCCTCCTGCTGTCCCTGGTAAAGTACAGTGGCATTGGTGACTTCTACAGAAGCTGCTGTTGGATGCTACTTCTCTGACTTCTTTGCCCATCTTGCCATTTTTCTAGGATTCCAAATTATTATAGTCCCCAGATTACATTTTTCAGAGTAAGATGATGGTAGTCTTGTCCTTGACAGCCCTAGGCCTATTAGGGCATGCTAATGGTAATTGGATGTTTAATTGCCAGTCAGGCTCTTGTATCCAGAGTTCTCTGGCCACTGTACTCATAAAGAATGAGTCTTAAGTCACTGAGATGAAAACTCTCAACCTTGCTGGTCATTACTATATGCTTACTATTTGAGAATATTCTCCTTCTTGGAAAACGGAAGAACCATATGTCTTTCTATTCTGGGCTAAGTGAAATGCTTCATATGTCTGACAGTGGTGTTTCCCCTGAAAAATTCACACATAAATACTTGATAAAACTTAAGGAGAAACTCCAGCAGGCTTTTAAATATTAATATCAAACAAAGTTAGTACTTACGTGAGGAATATTCGCTAGTGCTATCTTGAAACCTCCATTAATGTAAATTCCCTTACTTTTCACGTTTATGAATGGAGATCACAAAGGTGGCCTTTGCTTATTCTTATTGCATGTGGCACTTTTGGTTGCCTGCACTTCCTCATATGTCTCCAGATTTTGTGTTGGGTTAGACAGACTTTCCCTTACTTATGTTTTATCTAGCATGCTCTGTTCTATGCTATATAAAATATGGACTGATTGTTTGAAAAATGTAAAACTGTACAGAAATCTGGCCTCTCAGTGTAGATAAAAGTGCTACCTTTGTCTAGCATATTAAAAAAAAGAGCTTTATGTATGCTATGCTAGAGAATAAGGAGGATTCATACCTTATTTTGACTTGTTTGGTTAGTGCTTTGATATGAGTATTGCTTTGGATCTGTACCAACAAAAGCAGATGTGGATTCAGCATTTGTTGATTAACGCCCTTGCCAAGTGCTGAGGATCAGAGAGAGGATAGTTCTTTGGGGCATGGGGACTTTCATTGAAAGCTTGATGGACTCCTCTGCATCTGATGTAGATTCTGTTTTGTATATGAGAGAGATGAGGCAGGGCTCAGCTGCAAGCACAAGGGAAATTGAAAACCTAAAGAGCTGCTTATGGGAGTTCTGAGCCTTCTTGTTGAGTATTAGGTAGTACCTTGACAGAAACTTAAGAAAGTGGTATTTTTGCACACTTGTAACCATGAAAGTAATTTTTTCTAAATGCAATGAAAATAGTGTTTGGGGAACGAGGAAAATCTTAGTAGTATCACTGCACTGACCTTATTTTGACTAAAAGCTCTTTGCAAATTGCCCATCCTGGCTCACCAAAGACTGGCTTTTTTTTAGGACCTAATTGTAAGATCTCAAATCCAGTGCTTAATACCTTTGACATAATGGTGTGTGACCTGATCATGTCAGTCTAGAGCCTTTTATTACTATCCTGCTTATTAAAATGGCAAAGAGTAGAGTTTGAAATGCTACTAAAAATGCTGTAAAAGCTTTATGTAATCCTGACAGGCTTTGGAGTAGTCTGCCATCAAGAAAAATACTGAATGATCTGTGTGGACTGTTTTTAATGCTTCAGACTGAATTGCACAACTTCTGTTTATATGTTTTTGTTTAAGGATAGCTATTTTTGTCCATATATGAAGTAACTAAAAATAGATCTGTGCTGCTGCAGCTCTTGTAAAAAATCCTCTTAAGCATTGATGGAAGGATGATACTGAAAAAAAATCATTTGTGTTGTGGAAAATATATCTGTTTTCTTTGTGACAGTGATTTCAACTTCAAAAGCAGATTAGATTTAAGAACCAGTATCATGTTTGTCACACAGATAATTTTAATTAGACAAAAAAAAAATGGGCAAATTCTTAATGGTAGTAAGAGTTTCACAGTGTTGGCCAAGTCAGTCTACTAGCACTTCTCCCTTTCCAGTCCTTAATCACCTATTTCTGCGCAGTGCAAAACAGTGTTGATTTGAAATTAAGCACAACTTTTTGAGTCCTTCTAGAATATTCTGATATTTTAAACCAGCAGATTACATTTTCTATAGAAGAGCTATACCTCAATGTCTGACTGCAACTCTCCTGCTAAAGCCTGTCAGGACTGCAGCTTGAAGATAATGTCAAGGCTCATTCTACTAGGAACAGAACAGCCTTGGCTGCTAGCCTCAGATCTGTCCCTTACCAGGAGATTTGCGGAGGGGCCAAATGGTATCCTTTGCACACATTTGTAAAGTGCTGGTGCTTCAGATACAACATCTCACTGATAAGTGTTTTTTTGTTGGGACTGGAAGGGAAGAGAGGGTTCATATTACAGGACCAAATGCTTTGAAGTGCTTGGGATGGAGTCTATTGGGAAGCAGTAAGAAAACAGATATTCCCAAAATAAGGACTCAACGTTTTTCTTTCTTTACCATTTTTCTTGTCATTTGTTAGCTTCCCAATGAACATAAATATACTCTGCGCTAGACATCATTTGTTTAAATTGTCCACTGCTTAAAAATATTTTGTAGTAAGGAGTTATCCTGGTCTTTAATATAAACAGCCATGATGTACGAGGACACACATTGCTGCTTTCCCTGCAAAGGGTACTGCTGGCATTGATTCCTTTTGTTACTTTATTGATTCCAGCATGTTACTTTACTTTATTTTTATTTATTTTTATTTAACATTTTGTTTCCAAGGCTCTTGGTTTGTGCTTTGAAAAGAAGTAGGTCTGTGGATTACCTATCACTTGCCTTCTTTTCCTCCTAGTTCAGGAAGGTTTTGTGACTCTTTGTCTAAAGTTAATCTCTGGCTGGTCTTAAAGAGAAGTGTTGTTTGAAGGTCCTTCTTTTCACCCTTGAAAGTGCTGAGGCACTGATGTCTAATGCAAGGAGATGTCTAGGTGCCTGAGTGATTTACTTCAAAGCTCAAATTCTGTAGCTAATCTCATGCTGGAAATACATATCTCAGAGGGATGTTCATCAGAGGTGTGGATCTCTCTGAGAATAACTAATAACTTGGTTGCCCCCACCCCGTTCTCACTTTGTTAATATGCCATAACTTCTCAAAAAGGAATAAAAGCCTGACTTTTACTGGGCTCAGTCACACCACGTTTATCAAATACAGACAAGAATTGCTATACATGTCTTGCTGTAACCTCAGTTCTGGCTTATATGGCTAAAGGTGGTTTGAGAGGTGTGAAAAGGTCTCATTACGGCAGGCCTGGGTTCACTTCCCTTCTTCGTGATTGTCAAGGATTTCTGACTGGTTCCAGGGCCTGTTCTCCATACTGAGGTTGCACTTTTTTTGCTGTTTGACTGCTAAAGAACGGGGAAGACTTCATGTGCCTTCTGTTCTTCCTGGTATTTGTTGTTCATGGCAGGTAGAAACCAGACACATAAAACTTGTTTAATTTTTGATCTAGACCATCCATGATACTGTTTTAATTTCTTTGGCATCTTAAAGGTTAAATTTACTCCTTTAGCAAAGCACCAGCGCTCAGAAACAGAATAAATTGGTATTTGGGAACTCTGATTCCACTGTGGATAATTCTTTTTGGCAGTGAGTGTCATGATAGAGTTGAGTCCTTGAGAAGTTTTTGATCTACTGGAGCAGGAGGTGGAACTTCTCATCCTTGTGCTACCATAGTCCTTTAGGCACAAAAAACTTTGAAACTATCTGCATTTTGACTGCTGTTCCTGTGTCATTCTGTTTTTATTGTGTCTGAATTGGAAGATGGAGTTTACTGCACATCAAATTCTTCAATTTTTTTCTTGCTAACCATGTCCCCTTTGTTTTACAGGAGATAATACTTTAAAGTTATGGGATATTAGACAGTTTAAAAAGCCACTGAATTCAGCAGAAAGACTACCCACCTTCTTTCCAATGTAAGTACTCTATTCCAGGTAATAGAAAGAGCAGTAACTGTGCTGAATGGGAGGGGGCCTGCTGGAATTATTCTTCTCAGTTCCGTACAAAAAAAAAAAGAAAAAAACACTGCATAGGGAGGACTGTGCAGTGACAATTCTTGGTTATTTTGAGACTCCATGTTGCATTAAAAGATCTCTCTCTTTTTTTTTTTAATATGCTTGTTTCATGCCAGTTTTCAGTCTCATATGTCTTATCGTAGAATCACATGACATGATCATATTAACGAGATTAACAGCTTTTTCAGGAGGAGGCCAGTTCATTGCCTGATGTTTGTGTAATGAGATATAGAAGTAATCCTCATTCTTATTTGGTCTATGACTAATAAAATTATCTGGCTTGAAAGGTAGACATAACATAAACGTGCATGGCATGAATTCATGGCATGAATTATGATGTTTGAAGTGCTGATGGCTGTGTTCTTTGGTACTAAAATACTAAACTGTACTGCATACTGCTAAGAACAGTATTTAATATTTTTATTGGTATTACCTGCATGTCTGTAACTGTAGCACAGCCTAATCCAACTCTAAGGGTAATTTATACATTTGAAATAAGATCTTAGAAAGGCAGGTCATGGACAGCTCAATCTTCACTGCAGTTTGTAGCATAGAGGAAAAGTAAACAGACAAATGTTTTTGGCCACTGTATAAACACATTGCCTTGTATCACTGAAGAATGTATCATTAGGAAAAACAGATTTCATGATTTTTTTTTTTTTTTTTTTTTTTTTTTTACTTTATGAGGAGTACCAGATTTGAAAATACTTTTGTTTTTCATATTGAAAAGTTTACAAGAGTTTTGAGAGGAGGGGAATTTTGTTGGGAGGAGGATTTTTACTGAATTTGCCTGTTTTGCACGTTCTGTGCACAGCTGTAATTGTACATGTGAACTGTACATGTCTGAAAACTATAGTAACAGATGACAGCTGACAAAAAAGCTGTCTTTTGAAAGGATTAACAAATGGAAAGGATTATTTTTAAGGAGTGCAATTTATATAGAAGTTTCCTATACATTCATTATTGATTAACCCAGTATGTTTTGTTTTCTTCAACAGGACAGATTGTTGTTTCAGCCCAGATGATAAAATACTTGTCACAGGCACCTCTGTTAAGAGAGGTGGTGGCAGTGGGAAGCTTTGCTTCTTTTACCGGGAAACATTGCAGAAGTTCTACGAGATAGAAGTTACAGATGCGGTATGTAGTATAGTTTTGGTTTTTTTTGTCTACTATTTAAAGTATGAATGAAATCAATGAAACTATGTGCTTTTTTTCCCGTTATACAGGTAATGACCAGCTAACACTATTGTAATTTTTCTACTCCATAATTGAGATGGAGGTACAGTTGCCTGAATAGGCAGTTTTCTTCAACTTGAAGAAAAAAACCAAAATCTTAGGAAAAACACTAGGAGATTTCGTGGCAAAAGGAATGCAACACCAAAAATAACATTTCCACCAGTAACATAAAAAATGTAAAATTGAAAACATCTAATACAAACAAGTGTGTATGGCTTGAACTAGCTACCTGTTCCTTTGCACAGAAGGGTAAAGCTTAATATCATAGTTGAAGAAAGTCTTTTCACTCTAGTGTTGTACACAAGTGGACTTATAAGAGTATGACAAGCAGATGTGGGAGAATTTTAAACAGAATTGCCATTGCTTATGTATGGCAATGTACGCTTAAGTCCCATTAGTTGTGACAATCTGTCAGATAGCAACTTTTTGTTGATTTATTTCAGTATATTGTTTTCTCATTCATCACTTTTCTTAACCAGCCTCACAGTCTTTCCTAGTACAGTGGAGCCAAACTGCTTTATGCTGGAAATCATTTACACAGAATTTGAATTTGTATTTATATTTCCTTTCAAAATCCATTTTCTCTTCTAATTCACCCTAAAGCGGAATCTGCTTACAGATTAATTTGTTATATCTGTCATTTCAGTCGTGTAAACTAAAAATGCAGAATGCATGTCAAAGCAGAAGGCATGTATTTCTTCTGGATGAGGAAAAAAAAACCCAACTGTTTTTATTTTAAACATACATTCTAAATACAGTTTTTATACAGCTTTGAAAGTTTTATTTTAAGAATTTTAATTCTCTTTAAAGAATTTTTCCAAAGAAAGTATAAATTCAACTATAAAGTTTTCTTCTGTGGAACATACCAAACATCAGCTTCACTCACAGTGATTTCTAGTGGATTTTTATTTTCTGATACAAGTATTATAAGCAAGTATTTGTAACCTTTATCTGCAAAGCACGGATGCCTCGGTATCCCCTCTGAAACTTCAAGACAGAGAAAAAGAAAATAACCATATAAAAGTGGAAAAGGTAGATTGTTGTAGGAGCTTTTCTGTCCTTGGGCACAGGAAACAAAACAGCTTAGTAATTCCATTCACAATTAATTTGAACTCCTTAGAATGGAGTGTCAGCATGTGGTCATAATGCCATCTCTATTTAGTTGTGTTAAGTCAGTAACAGTGTATAGAAACATCACCTGCTGCAGTTTGAAAACTGCAAGGGTGAGGAGCTTGTCAGTGGTGGATCCTATATCTCTAAAAGAAAGAAATAAGAATTATTGCTGACCAGCCAACCTTTTTTGTGTTCAAAGGAAATACAATTTTCATTTGCTTTGTTTCCTAGAAAAATGTTTCTTTAATTCTCTGAAATAAAGGAACCATTTACCTGTTGATGAGGCAGATAATTCTAAAGGAGGATCCAGAAAAAACATTGTTTTGCTGTCAGTTTCTCTGAGAATTCAGAAGTAAATTCCTGCTCATTCTTCTTCAAAATGCAAAAGAGCTATGGAGCTGAGAACCAACAGTAGGAAATGGTTGGAAAAACAAAAGTGGAGGTCAATAAGCAACTTCACTGGGGCCACTCACATAGTAAAATGTGTACTAATCTCAGCAGGTTCATAATTTTATATTGGTGTTGATATTTATATAGTTCTTTTTAAGACTGCAGTAAATTACTTTTGTCTGTAGAGTTCTAGTGCTGCTGTTTTTCTTCATTTCTAATTATTAAATTTAAGACCCATTCTGCTTCGAATATAAAGGATCAAATGAAAATAATGGGAATAATAGCTGAAGAATTGAAACTTAGAAATGCTGATCATACAATTTTCAGCACTAGTAATATCTCTACAATAGTGTATCTAGCTTCAACACTACATTGCATTGCATAGATGAAGTTGCACTATGCAAATCTGTATAGTAAAAGCACAGATACACCAGTATCTGTCTCTGCAAAGAGCTTGATCTGCTCTCATTTCTCATGAAAATAATTACAGTGATTTCAGTTGGATTTAGTCCAACTTGCTAAAGAAAAAGGGCATCATTATTTATTTCAAGTCTAAAAAGAAAATAATAAGTCTTTTTGAGGTCAGTTGCATACCATTTTGATGGTAGAACGTACCTAATCAGAATAAAAGAAAATCTAGTATGAAGAGAAAACATAAACTATTAATGTGTTACTTTTCCAATTTCACAAGGATTTTTGAAAGGAAATGCTGTAAACTGAGAAAATTGAAGAAACAATAAAGAGCAGTAAACATTGTCTTAACTCTCCTTGGTAAATAGCCCGTGCAATTGGCCTGTAAATGAACCTAGAGGGTAATGGGAAAATATTTAATGGGAATGTTTGACCAAAGCTGTGTCTGGCATTCCTTTCTATCATACCACACAAACCTTTTTTCACCTTTTCTTTCAAGTTTTCATGGGAAAACCCATTACTGCTGCAGAGCTGCTGGAGTGAAACCTTGATGTTTTACTAATGGACTAATGGTTTGATTAGTCTCTGCTGCTGTGGCTGGGTATAAAATATTAATTTGCTTTTATTAGTTTTTATTTGTTTTGAAGAAAAGCTAAGTAAATGTCAGAAGTGGTGCAGACCATGGGCTCTGCGTCTGGCCAGGAGCAGCGTCCCTTCAGGAGGAGCTGTGAACAGGGCAAATATACAATGAATACACAATAATGCTTTTCTAACTACCCTCTATGACTTGGAGATAGCTTAATGCAGACATAGGAATTTTCTCTACATGCAGTACTTCAGCCTTACTCTGGCTCAGTGCATACAGGTGTCATTGGTCATTAAGAAGGCTTTGTACCGTGACCATAATTATGTATACTAAACTGTACAGAACTGCTCTTTTTAACATGAACCAAAACCTTATTAGGCACTTGTAGCTTTTTCATTGTTTTTCTGTCTGTTTCTTCTATCTTGGCAATATTATCTGTGAACAGTTCCTCAAATATCCACAAGAAAATATATTAAAATTTCTCACTTTGAGCATTTATTTTATGTGAAAGATTTATAATTGCTACAAAATGCTTCTTTGGTCCATTAAGTGGATGAGGGACTTAGACAGATGTCAGGAAATACAACTGCCAGAAGAGGGGTACATACAAAGTATGCACATAGAAACTCAAAGGCTACTTCCCTTTCCTTTTCTCAGACCTGTAGCTGCTTTGGGATGAGGTTTCATCTGTTGGGACATCTGTAACTCCACTCTCTGGAATAAAAGGGAGATTTCATTATCAGATGCAAGTCAGGGAGGGTTAATTTCTAGTTCTTGTTTTGGTTATGCAAGTTTAAGATCTTCATGAGAACCAATTACAAGTACCTAATGTATGGGAAACTGAGTTGGGTACACAACGTTTTCCCCAGTGTCAAATTAATTGAAAATAGCTGTAGATAGCCACTTGAATGACTCTCATGTCTGTTGTTAGTTTGGCTAGGTCAAACAGATCACCCAGTAGTTATCCTTATTAAGTCACAATTGATTTTGGGAGCTGCAGAGCAGTCATCTTCCCCCTATAGAAAGTAGTAGTAATACACCCATTACTGCCAAGCAAGAGTGGGCACTGAGAAAGGAAAAAAAAAAATAAATAAATCCAGAAGCTGTGTAATTACAGAAATTGCTATTTTAAAATGAAAATGTAAGTGATAATTTAATCTAAAAATGCATAATTTTTATATTGCATACATTATAAAATGAGATGTGCAAGTTTTTAAAATAGCGTGTAGATTTTTGTACACATGCAACAATCCAGTAGCATAGATTTGTTGGGATTTGGGGAGACCTGTTTCTATTAGGAGGATTCTTCAATATTTTCTTAGTTTCTCAAATAAAAGCAAAAGTTAAATTATTAAATACATCTGAAAATACCTCTAAGGGATGTTTCAAGGAGGTCTTCTGAGACAAGCTATAAATAAAGCTTCTTTTTAGATTAAAGAAAGAAAAGGAAAGAAGGAATAAGGAATATGAAACTTTCAGCATCCTTTATGCACAGTTGATATAAGATTGCAGTATTTTTTCGTTGACCTCAAACGGTATCATTTACGATTTATAAGGTGCAGTAATATAATAAAGGGCTTTTCCACTGTGGCCCATTTCACTAAGATTTAAAGCTTTTGAATTTAAGGAAAATAAATTTGTTTAACTTCTGGAAGAGATCATCATGCTACTTTTTTTTTTTTAGCCATTTATTTTATTTGAAAGGAAAATCCACATTTTCAACAAGGAAGTAAATGCAGCCTTTAACATTCACTTTTTTTGTGCTCATTAAATTAAAAAAAGGTAATCTAGCATAAAATGTGAATCACACATCACAGGGAATGTGTTTTCTAGTGCGGGAATGTGTTTTCTGGTGCAGGAATGTGTCAGTTTTTATTCTCTGCTTTCATGTATGCAGAGATAATTTGGTCCTTCCCTTTGTATATTCTGCAGCAGCATGTACTTTGTTTTAGGCGAGCTGTCACATTTGACTTGTACAAGAGAAATAAGCTGTTCAGGTTTCCTCACTGTAGCAGGGAGCGAGGGGTGTGTGTGAAGATTGTCTGCCTTAGTTATGTGAAATACTGTGATGGAAGTGTGGCTGCAGTTTTAACGGAGCAGGTGCTTGAAATTTCCTTACCTTGCAATTACAACAAAACCAGTTTCTTCTATTCATAAAAAAAAGTGTGGTTCAAAGGCTCAATTCACGTCTAAGAATATAGTTTATAGCTGTGCCTTGAAATGTGATACAGCATTGTCATCCTTATATTCAATATTGCTTTAAATACTTGGCCTCTGAAAATGTTTTAGGATATTTCTTGTTTCTATATACAAAATTCTAAATTTTATCCATTTCTGGTCCATTTTCTGTTGAATGTTTCCACACCTTTTCTAAGTCATGCTTCACAAGGGAAATATATTA